TGATGCCTCCATGGTGTCCCCATCCCTCCCGTCACCCACCATGGTGTCCCCATCCCTCCCGTCACCCCCACACCTCACTGATGTCCCCACCCCTGATGCCACCATGGTGTCCCCATCCCTCCTGATGTCCCTACGCCCCACCGATGTCCCCATCCCTGATGCCATCTCCAAACCGTATTGGCGTCCCCAACCCTGATGCCACCATGGTGTCCCCATCCCTCCTGGTGTGCCTATGCCCCACCGATGTCCCCATCCCTGATGCCATCTCCAAACCCTATTGGCGTCCCCACCCCTGATGCCACCACGCTGTCCCCACCCCTCCCACCGTCCCCGTCCCCAACGCGGTGGCGGTGTCCCCAGGGCTGGACGGCCTGATGGAGCGCTGCGCCCAGTACAAGAAGGACGGGGCCGACTTCGCCAAGTGGCGCTGCGTCCTGAAGATCTCGGCGCACACGCCCACCCGCCTGGCCGTCATGGAGAACGCCAACGTCCTCGCCCGCTACGCCAGCATCTGCCAGCAGGTCCCCTGTCCCCTCCCCCTGTCACCGCCCGGCGGTGGGGCGGGGGCCTCCAAGCTCTAGGGTGACACCGTGAGGTGGCACCTAGACACAGTGTGGTGGGACGTAGGGATGGGCTGGTGGCACCTAGACGTGGTCTGGTGGGACGTAGGGATGGGTTGGTGGCACCTCCATGGCCTTTGGTGACCTCTTTGTGTCCCCACGTCATCCCCGTGTCACCTCAGGGCACCCTACAGTGGTTGGTGGCCTCCAAGCTCTAGGGTGACACCAGAAGGTGGCACCTAGACGTGGTCTGGTTGGACGTAGGGATGGGTTGGTTGCCCCTCCATGGCCTTTGGTAATCTCACTGTGTCCCCACGTCATCCCCGTGTCACCTCAGGCCACCCTACAGTGGTTGGTGGCCTCCAAGCTCTGGGTGACACCACGAGGTGGCAACTGGAGATGGGCTGGTAGCACCTAGACGAGGTGTGGTGGCATCTTCATGTCCTTGGGTGACCTCTATGTGTCCCCACGTCATCCCCGTGTCACCTCAGGGCACCCTACAGTGGTTGGTGGCCTCCAAGCTCTAGGGTGACACCACGAGGTGGCAACTGGAGATGATCTGGTGGCACCTGGATGTGGGGTGGTGGCATCTTCATGGCCTTGGGTGACCTCTTTGTCCCTCGTCATCCCCGTGTCACCTCAGGGCACCCTACAATGGGTGGTGGCCTCCAAGCTCTAGGGTGACACCACGAGGTGGCACCTAGATGTGGTCTGGTGGGACGTAGGGATGGGTTGGTGGCACCTCCATGGCCTTGGGTCACCTCACTGTGTCCCTACCTCATCTCTGTGTCACCTCGGGGCACCCTACAATGGGTGGTGGCCTCCAAGCTGCAGGTGACACCACGAGGTGGCACCTGGAGATGGGCTGGTGGCACCTTGCCGTGGGCTGGTGGCACCTCCATGCCCTTGGGTCATCTCTCTGTGTCCCCATCCCATCCCCGTGTCACCTCTGGGTGTCCTGCAATGGTTGGTGGCCTCCAAGCTGTGGGTGACACCACGAGGTGGCACCCAGACATGGTCTGGTGACACCTCCATGCCCTTGGGTCACCTCACTCTGTCCCCACCCCATCTCCATGTCCCCTTGGGCCATCCTATGGTGCTTGGTGGCCTCCAAGCTGGAGGTGGCACCTGGAGATGGGCTGGTGGCACCTCGCCGTGGGCTGGTGGCACCTCACCATGGTCTGGTGGCACCTCCATGTCACCTTGGGGCACCCTATGGTGCTTGGTGGCCTCCAAGCTGGAGGTGGCACCTGGAGATGGGCTGGTGGCACCTCGCCATGGTCTGGTGGGACACAAGGATAGGCTGGTGGCACCTCGCCGTGGTCTGGTGGGACGTGGGATGGGCTGGTGGCACCTCACCGCGGTCTGGTGACCCCAGGGCCACCTCCCCACCCTGACGTCCCCCCCGGGGTGTCCCTGCAGAATGGCATCGTCCCCATCGTGGAGCCCGAGATCCTCCCGGATGGTGACCACGACCTGAAGCACTGCCAGTACGTGACCGAGAAGGTTGG